ACACTCCAACCATGGACGAAGCTAGCCATTGTTGTCCCTCTAGCGATAGGAAAGCTATCCATGGCTGACCCCATAATACTTATGCAACATGGCCAGCAGTCATGTATATCATCATCTTTCTATACAAAGGGACAAAGTTATTGCTTGACGATAATCTCAATCTATAACATATTTATTTTATATTCTAAGTGTTAATAGGTACCGCCAGCCAACGAAGCTTGGCCTGAGATAACGATATTGCAGCACACACCCATGTCATCCATTCTCTATTTTGACACAATGCTAGTCATGCATAGTAAGAATATAGTAGCACCTGCCACGGTTAGCGACTAAATAAGAGCAGCGAACATTTGCCCACATGGTCTTCCTCAAGATATAAGGGAGTTCTTTTTTTCGCTATGTATATTCACATATTGCTTGTATATAAAATACTCGAATATATACTCATATATACTTTGTTATTATTACAAATAAGTGCAAGCCCGTGAATCCAAGTTTATGAGAATTACTCGAGATAAACTATGGGGGGAGTGGCTTGGCAAGCATGGATGGGTGAACGTTGCCTGTCTGGCGAAGCTTGGCATTGGCGATGTTGCCCGATATCGCCAGAAAAGGCTGGGTGGCAAAGGTGTGAAAACAAACTTAACTCCCAAAACAGTATCCTTTGATGCTAACTAGAGGCTGTAAATCTTGTTGAAGATGCCACTTGAGTCACCATTAGCAACTTGCAGCCATATTTAATGCAAGGGTGGCTGCATAAGTTTCATGGCGTTGGAAACTGTTATGGAAGATCACTATTTACTTGCAAAATCTCCCAAAATCTCATACAGAACTTGGGGAACTTACCAAATCATTGTGCAAGTGGTGTTTTTGCCGGTTGCACTCAAGCATCCCCCAAAAATAGAGTTTCATATGGCTAGGAGAATTTCCAATTATGGCCAGTTTCCAGTTCATTGTTGGAACCAGCGAAGCTTAGTTAGAACCAACGGGCAACTCATGATGCTAATGCTAGAGCAGCCGTCAATAGTGCCCGAAACCACTCTAAGCTTGACAACTCATCTGGACCCATCTATACATTTCTGACCTATTAAGTAGAATTATAGAACTACCCCTGACTAGATACATCATCCCTCCCTTGCCATTCAAAAAGGAACACACAGAATAACCTAGATTTTCTTCTCACGCACCAGATCCCCATTCGTCGTCCCTCATAAAAATTACTCCACCTACAATCCATCATCATGGATGTTAAAAACTACCTAGAAACCATTGTTTCTCTGTATCTCTGATATTGCAGAATGACCTCTAGCCTCGAATGATAATCTCCAATATCGCAAAGTATTCCCAGATTTGCAAGATATTATGGCTGGGAAACAACAGCTTACAGTTCCATCTCCCATGTAATTCTTCTTGAGCATCAAACGATCAAGCCACATGCTTAGCATCAAAGAACAAGATTGAGAATTCCACCTATAAGCGTCCCCAAGTGGACACTTTTCCTTCTCCCATCACTATTTTCGAGTTTATACTTTTTGTTTTCTTTGTTTTTAAAGAAATTTCGGAAGGAGGGTCGTTACGCCCTTCGTGCTCAACATGAGAATTGTGTGTTATAGGGTGAAAATGTTCACTAGAGATGACAGAGGTTTTATTTGGTGTTATTACTACTATGTCATGGTGTTCTACGTGTAAAGGCAACTTCAAAATTTTGTGTAATCATTCCGAGTTTGCAAGAAGTCTGCTATCGTTGTTCGACTCCAATAGCTTGGCCAGGGGATTTATGCTCTACAACTTCGCTGGGGAGCCTGCTATGTGATATCATTGCTGGACAGAATGGGATGGCCCGTAGCACGTAGCCATGTGCACGTGAGACAGGTGCTACCAAAGAACCCCTCCTCAACTCCACGGGTGTTATCCTAGTCAACCTCCACATCATCATTGCTGCTGACTCATCATCTTACATTACTAGCACACCCCAACAGTTTGTATATATTAAATTATGAAATAAAAATTATCAAATGAGAGAGAGTTTTTAACATTAAGAGTTTAATTTTTATTTAATAATAATTATTGTATAGTTTAAAATAATTCATATTATATATTTAATTTTTAATAAAAAATTATTTTATAATTTAAATTATATAATACTTTTTAAATATTTATCTTTAATATTGATTTAATTTAATTTAATTATCACAAATAATTAATAATAATTATTTATTAATAATTAAAAAATTAATATTTATTAATTAATATACTAAAATTAATCAACATACTAAAATATTTAAATATTGTAATTATTATTTAAAAAAAATTATATTTAAGTTATCATAATATATTTTTAGGGCTTGTTTCGCGTCAAAATTCAATGAATAACGGATA